TAAGAAGAATAGGTATAGAAGAAGGTTAAGACAACCACCTCAAAGGGGCAGAAAACATATTCAAAACATCATAGAAGAAAACTTTCCCATCATGAAGAAAGACATGCCAATGAAGGTACAAGAAGCTTACAGAACATCAAATAGAGTGGATCACAAAGAAAAGTCCACTCGCCACATAATCATAAGCACCCAAAACATATATAATAAAGAAAGAACATTGAGAGCAGCCAAGGAAAAAGGCCAAGTAACATATAAAGGCAAACCTATCAGAGTTACACCTGACTTCTCCATGGAAACTCTGAAAGCCAGAAGGTCCTGGATAAATATTCTACCAATACTAAGGAACCACAGATGCAAGCCCAGACTACTATGCCCAGCAAAGCTCTCAATCACTATAGATGGAGAAAACAAGATATTCCATGACAAAACTAGATTCAAGCAATACGTATCCACTAACCCAGCCCTACAGAAAGTTCTTGAAGAAAAACTCCAACCCAAGGAAGTTAACTACAACCAGAAAAACATAGGCATTAGATAATCCCACTTTAACAATAGGCAAAAGAAAAAAAGGGATGGAATTACACACATAATTCTACCAACAACAACCATTTCAAATCAAAGAAGAATGAGCAATCAATGGTCATTAATATCCCTCAATATTAATGGCCTTAACTCACCCAAAAAAAAAAAAAAAAACAACGGCTAACAAAATGGATTCGAGGACAGAACCCATCCTTCTGCTGCATACAAGAAACACACCTTACCCTCAAAGACAGACATTACCTGAGAGTTAAGGGTTGGGAAAAGATTTTCCAGTCAAATGGACCCAAGAAGCTATCGAGGGTAGCAATCCGAATATCAAACAAATTAGACTTTATAATAAAATCAATCAAAAGAGATGAAGGAAGTCATTACATACTCATCACAGGAGAAATCCACCAAGATGAAGTTCCAATTCTGAACATCTATTCCCCAAATATAAAGGCATCCACATTTGTAAAAGAAACATTACTAAAACTTAAATCACATATAAAGCCCCACACATTTATAGTGCGAGATTTCAACACACCACTCTCACCACTACACAGGAATACCAGACAGAAACTCAACAAAGAAGCAAAGGGTCTAATAGAAGTAATGACCCAATTCTGATTAACAGACATCTATAGAACATTCCATCCACATAAAAAACAATAAACCTTCTTCTCACCACCACATGGAACGTTCTCAAAAATTGACCACACACTTGGCAACATATCAAACCTCAGCAGATACAGAAATAACTCCATGCATCTTATCAGACCAAGAAGCGTTAAAATAGAATTCAACAACAACACAAACTGCAGAAACCCTACAAAGTCATGGAAATTGATCAATGCCCAACTGTACCATTCCTGGGTCAAAGAAGAAATAAAAAAAAAGAAATTAAAGACTTCCTAGAATTCAATGAGAATGAAGACACAATATATACAAACCTATGGGACACTTTGAAAGCAGTGTTATGGGGGAAGTTCATAGCACTAAGTGCCCACATGAAGAAACTGGAGAATAATTATACTAGAGAATTAACAGCACAGCTGAAAGCTCTAGCACACAAAGAAGCACTTCCCCAGGAGGAGTAGACACAAGTAAATAATCAAACTTAGGGCTGAAATCAATAAAGTAGAAACTAGAAAAACAATACAAAGAATCAATGCAACGAAGAGTTGGTTCTTTGAGAAAATAAATAAGATGGAAAAACCCTTGTCCAAACTTAAAAAACAGCAGAGTGTGAACATGCAAATTCACAAAATCAGAAATGAAAATGGGGCCAGAACAACAGACGCTGAGGTTAATTCAGAGAATCATCAGGTCATACTTTGAAAACCTATACTCCACAAAATTAGAAAATTTAATGGAAAGAGACAACTTCCTGAATAGCTATCACTAGCCAAAATTAAATCAAGAACAGATAAGCAATTTAAATAGACCTATAACCCCAAGAAGTAGTCATCAAAAGTCTCCCAACCAAAAAAAGTCCAGGTCCAGATGGCTTCAATGCAGAATTCTACCAGAAATTCAAAGAACAGCTTATACCAATTCTTCTCAAAGTATTCCATGCAACAGAAGCAGAAGAGTCTTTGCCAAGCTCTTTCTACAAGGCTTCAATAACCTTGATCCCCATGCCATACAAAGACACAACTAAAAAAGAGAACTTCAGACCAATATCCTCATGAACATTGATGCAAAAATACTCCATAACACACTGGCAAATCGGATCCAAGAACACATCAAAACAGTCATTCACCATGATCAGGTAGGTTTAATCCCAGGGATGTAGGGATGGTTCAAGCTATGAAAATCCATCAATGTAATCCACCATATAAACAAGCTGAAAAACAAAAATCACATGATCATCTCACTAGATGCTGAAAAAGCCTTTGACAAAATCCAACACCCCTTCATGATAAAGGTCTTGGAGAGATCCGGGATAGCAGAAACATACCTAAACGTAATAAAAGCTATATACAGGAAACCAACAGCCAACATCAAACTAAATGCAATTCCTCTAAAATCAGGAACAAGACATGGCTGTCAACTCTCTCCATACCTTTTCAACATGGTACTTGAAGTTCTAGCTAGAGCCATATGACAATAAAAGGAGATCAAAGGGAAACAAATTGGAAAGGAAGAGGTCAAACTTTCACTATTTGTAGACGATATGATAGTTTACATAAATGACCCAAAGAACTCTACCAGGGAACTCTTACAGCTGATGAACACCTTCAGCAAAGTGGCAGACTACAAGATCAACTCAAGAAAATCAGTAGCCCTACTATATACAGATGATAAAAGGGCTGAGAAAGAAATCAGAAACATCACCCTTTACAATTGCCACAAGCAACATAAAATACCTTGGGATAACGCTAACCAAACAAGTGAAAGACCTGTATTGCAAGACTTTGAATCTTTAAAGAAAGTAATTAAAGAAGCCCTCAGAAAATGGAAAGATCTCCCATGTTCTTGGATAAGTAGGATGAATGTAATAAAAATGGCAATCCTGCCAAAAGCAATCTACAGATTCAGTGCAATCCCCATTAATATACCAGCACAACACTTCACAGACCTTGAAAGAACAATAATCAATTTTGTATGGAAAAACAAAAGACCCAGGATAGCCAAAACAACCCTGTTCAACAAGGCAACGTCCAGAGGCATCACCATCCCTGACCTCAAGCTCTATTACAGAGCTATAGTCCTGAAAACAGCTTGGAATTGGCACAAAAAATAGACAGGTAGACCAATGGAATCGAATTGAAAACCCGGGTATTAACCCACACACGTACGAACATCTGATCTTTGACAAAGAAGCTAAAAATATACAATGAAATAAAGAAAGCATCTTCAACAAATGGTGCTGGCATAATTGGAGACTGGCATGTAGAAGAATGCGGATCGATCCATGTTTATCGCCATGCACATGGATGGAGATTTGGAGGGGGTTTGTTGGGGATGGGGGAGGAGAGGATGTAGAGGGAGCTGGGATTGACATGTGAAGCAACCTTGTTTCTTATTTAAATAAATTAATTTAAAAAGAAGACCAGGAATGCAAAAAAGGTCTTGACAAAAGTAGACACCTCACATCTCAGAGGATGCATGACTTGTAAAATATCTGGGCAAAACTTAATAGATGGGGAAGGGTTAAATGGAGTAAGGGGCTATGATTTCTAAGAAGGGAAAAGGAATGTTCTTATGTAAAACTACATTTATGTAGTTAGTTAAACTAGAAGCTTATAATTGATAATTGTACTCTCTCAGAATTTTCTTCTGCTACCCTGGTCCCTGGGAGCACAGTAGCCATGGCAGCCAGCATAAGCTGTGAAAAGGAAATGGGTGGCTTTTAATCCACACTTGCATATTTGCCAAATGTTAGCAAATTCTCCCAGAACTAGATCAAAAGGGAAGGTTGCAAGACTGCAGGCTGCTGTTTCCAGCCACAGGCTAAGTTTAGGTGGGCATTCATACCACTAACAACCGAGTAAAAAGGAATTCCTTTCTCTGGGACTGATTAAGCGATCTCATGCTTTTTCCTGAATCTAGGTTTAAAGGCAAAAAAACATTTAGTTTCCTAGATTAATATCTTGTATCAGCAGAACTGAGGTGGAGGTGAGTATTTGTTCAGCCTGTTAAGGTAGAGCAGGGGCCAGTAAGCTGCTCTCTTCTGAGTCAACTCTATTACAAGAATCAGGATCACCCAGCCCTGCATATCAATGGGGAAAGACATGCCCTGTCTCCTGCTCAGTGCCTGTCTTTTGAGACTTTAATGTGGTCTATTTGCAAGGCTTCTCTCCTTGTCAGATGTGCTGTGTAGGGAGATAGCTCCTAAGTTATATAGATTTGAATATGAGAACAAACGTTTCCTTGAGTATGTGAATTCTTTTCACACCAGGGCTCCATGATGTGGGGATAGGTTATTCACTTTATCAGTTCAAGAGATAGTTGTGTCCAATAATTGATTAATACACCTCTGTGGTTTGGGGGGATGAATGCCACCATGAAAAGGGGGAAACAATGTGGTTTCACATGGGTTTTACAGGGATGACAGACACTATTCAAGAGATAGGTTATCCCCAAAGCTTTACAAGTAGGGGTTTCCTCCAGTGGGATACATGATGAGGATACTGATGGGTTAGCCTAGTGATTTTTGTCACTATATGATCTTGTGACCTACAGTCTATACTTAATACCATGTTCAGAGAACAAACAAATCATTTTAAACACACCAAAAATTGCCAAATGGAAATTTTAAACTGGCAGTATAAACGGTTTTCTGAAAATAGAAAGACAAATGGTGATAAATTTTGAATAAACCAATTGGTGTAGAAGGAACTTTTAGTGAAATGAACTCCATCACAGATGGAAAGAAAGAGTAAAGAAACATATCTGTGAATATGTCATTATCCAGGGGAGAAGAGCTGCATTACTAGAACAAAATAACTGTTACTTCCTTTCTTTCAAAGGTGACCACCTGGGACTGGACACGCGCAGAGAAAACTTTCTCTATTTGTGAGATCATGTGCAAGGTTCTCAAGGTATGTGTAACTAGGACAGGAGCTTTCATTTCATGTATCATACAGCATCAGGGTCTGAGCTCATAAACAGTCCATGAATATAAATAATGAATAAGTAAAAGAGACTATGAAGAGAAAAATAAAATAAGTAATAAAGGAGGGAAACAGGGATATATATAAAAACAAACAGGCACTCAGAGAGTAAGTCTTTGAAAGTAGAAAACATGAAAATAAATATAGAAAATAATTATTTGTTTTTGGATCTGACAATCACTGTATACCAGAGATCAATTCATTTCTATTTGACACAAAGAATGACTTACACAGTCTACAGGAAGAATTAAAGTGGGCTATTTGGACAAACCATCAATGCAAGTTTTCTTTTAAAAATTTTACCATGCAGGTTTAATGTCTACAATATGACATTATGGAAAACATTGCATATAGTAATATATTTTATATAGAGAGACATGATACTAACATGAAGCAAACATACATTTTCTTTCACAGGTTAACTTTAGTTATCAAATAAAGACAGGTATTTTCAAATTTAGCAACAGTAATTTATGAATAGAAACATTCACATTTCTTTCCAGTAACTATACCTGGTATGGTGGCACACACCTTTAATCTCAGCACACAGGAGACAGAGGCAAGTGAATCTCTGAGAATTTGAAGCCAGTTTTGTCTACATAGCAAGTTATAGGTCATCCAGGGCTATTAAGTGAGACCATATTTCAAAACCTGAATTCTTCAAATAATGTATAGATTCTTGTAATTATTAGTCACCCTACTGTGGTATAAAATAGTTTGAGGCATTTCTGAACCCCTTAAGTGTGCTCTGGTACCATCCTCTTCCTCTTTGTAGTTCTCAGTCTCCACTAACAGCTCTTCAGCTCTGTTCTCCTATGTGATCCACACAGGAGAGAGAATGTGCAGCATTTGACTTGTGTGCCTGTCTTTCTTCATTCCGTATAACACTTTCCAGTTCCACCCATTTTTTCAATTTTATCTAATTTTTCATAGATTAATAAAATTCCATTGTATATGCACTGTGCATTTACTATTCATTCAACAACTGGTGGACATCTAGGCTAATTCTTTTACCTTGGTATTGCAAATATAATGATAGGAAACTAGGATGTGCAAATGTCTGTAGAGTAGGATGAAGAGACCCATGTGTGGGTAAATGCCTAGAAATGGAATACCTAGGCAGGATGGAACATTTTTCTAAGTTTCTGAGAAACTTTCACATCAATTTCCATAGGAACCACCATAATTTTTACTTCCATCATTGGTGTATATGGACTTCCTGTTTCACATACACTGCCAGCATTTTTTTTCATTTGATACCCGTTAGAAATTTAATTTGCTCCATTTAATTTGAAGTGGAATATCAAAGAAGTTTTTATTTGTATTCCTGGTGACTAATGATGTTGAACATATTTTGAAAAAATATTTATTAGTTATTTGTATTTCTTCTTTTGTGAACTCTCGGTTAAGTTTTATAGCCAAAGTTTTTAATGGGTAGTTTGTTTACCTGATAGCTTGTATTCTGAGTTCTTTGTATATTCTGGATGTTAAAACTCTGTGGTTTATAGTTCTCAAAACATTTCACCCATTCTACAGGCTTGACGGACTATTCTCTTTGCTGTGAAGACATTTTAAATTTCATGAGGTCACATTTGTTAACTATTGATCTTGATTTCTGTGCCACCAGAGTCCTATTCAGAAAGTACTACCGAGGCCTATAAGTTGATGTACACTACATTTTCCCTCTAGAACTTTCAAAGTCTTAGATCATATGATTAAGTCTTTGATCCATTTAGGGTTGAGATTTATACAGGGTGATAGATGAGGATACATCTTCATTCCTCATATTCTGCTCTCTTAGCAACCATTGAAGACACTGTAATTTGTTCGATGAATCTTTGTAAAAATTCAGATACAGGGTATGGAGCCTTGTACCTGGATCATGTGTTCTATTGCAATGATCTACTTATGTGCTTTAGGACTTCAGGGCCTGAACAACAATACTTTTGCTATTATAAATGTATAGTGTAAACAGAACAGGTGTGGTAATCTTCTGCAGCAGTATTCTTTTGCTCAGATGTGTGTGTGTGTGTACATATATATATTTTCAAATACATAAAGATAACCTCAGTCTTGTATATATGTTTCTAGGACTGACTGTTTTGTTTTGGATAACCAACTGATGAGTCTCTGGGGAAGACTATTTATCCTGCTGTCACCATTCCTTAGTTGACTGCAGTTCTGAGTCCTCAGGGTCCTTCCCTCATCAACTTTAGCATGTCTATTTTTGTTGCCCTAGTTCAGAAAAATATTTGGCAGTCATTCTGGTGATATAGCTTCTGATATTATTAGGAGATACTTTGTCACTGCCAACGACCTTCTCTTAAAATATTTCCACACCTTCTTCTGCAACATTACTTGAGTCTTAGGTGTGGAGTTATTTTGCAGACATAACTGTTGGCACTGGGTTCCACAAATAGTTAATTTCATGGTCTCTGTTACAAAGAGACATTCCCTGGATGAGGGTAGAGGACTTCTGTTTCTTTGAAGAGTGAGTTGGCATTTTAATTGTGATTGCATTAAGTATGCAGATTGATTTAGGCAAGATGGTTATTTCAGAATGTCATTTCTGCTAACCCAGGACTACAGGAATACTATCTTCTGGGGTGTTCTTCATCATTCAAGATTTCATTGTATAGATCTTTCAGATCCTCAGGTGTATATAGAGGTGGTTTTGTTTTTCTTTTTGTTATGAGGCTGCTATAAAAGGGACTGTTTGCAAAACCATCAGTATTTCTGTAACCAATGTATAAGAAGGCTACTGACTTTTGGATATTAATCATATACCACATTGCTGAAAGTCTGTCAATATGAACAGTTTTCTGGTGAAGTCTTAAAAGTCTCTTTTACACAGAATCATGTCACCTGCAAGTAAAGATACTTCTATATCTTCTTTATAGCTTCTTATTTGTATTTTTTGTTTGTTTCCTTTACCTTATTGTTCTAGCTATGACTGTCAGTACTATGTTGAATAGAGGAGACAGTGAGTACCTTTGTAGTATTCTTGATTTTTTTGGAAATGTGTGGAGGTTTTATAGATTTAATGTAATATTAACTATAGGGATTTTTTTAAATATTTTTGGTTGTGAGCCTAGCATTTAATGGCTGAGCCATCTCTCTAGCTCAGGTTTTTTTTAAATATAGATTTTACTGTGTTCAGATATTTTTCTTTCATCCAGAGTTTCTTAAGTACATTTATCATGAAGAGATGTTGGACTTGATCTAAAAATCTTTTCTGAATCTTTGGAAATGATGATGTGATTTCTGTTCTCGAGTCCATTTATGGATATTTTAGATGTATTAATTTGCATATTTTGATTTATTGCTGTATTAAGCCAACTTGATCATGGTGAAGAACCTAAATTTTAATATTTTTATAATGTAATATAATTATATCATATCCTCCTTCCCTCACCTTGTCCTTTTTTAAACTCCTTGACACTTGTACTTTACATACTAATCAGTCCCTATACTTTTACTTTTATAGGTTGAGCCTTACTTTATAGGTTGAGATTTCCACAAACACATTAGCATGTCTATTGTTGTCCTTGTTACTGACTCTTTATGATGTGTTTTTTTTAATTCAGCTTGCAAGCGTTTGGCTGAAAATTTTGAATATGTGGTTTCATTGGAACATTGGTCGATCATTTTATTTTCTATTGTATCTTTATCTGGGTATAGTAGCAAGACTATACTAGTTTCATAAACATTTGGAAACTTTCTTTCCCTACTTTATGCAGCAGTTTGAGAAATTTTGTGTTATTTCTTAATTAAAGATATGTTGAAATTCACTATAGAATATACCTGCCTAGGCTTTGTCTAGTTGATTGCTTGCTATAGATCTCTTTAATTTTTAATTTATGTATTTAATTTATAAAGAGTCTTATTTTGTATCTCCATACCACCTCCCTCTCCCTCCCACCCCATGACTCCCCAACCCCCAATCCCACTACCCACCCACTCCCCAAGGATGGTGAGGCCTTCCATGAGAGATCATCAACATCTGTCACATCATTTGGAGAAGGGCTTAGGCCTGAAAGATTATCCCTGCAAAGGGAATGGGCTTCCAAAGTTCATTTGTGCACTAGAAATAAATACTGGTCCCACTGTCAGAGGTCCCATAGCCTGCCCAGATCTCCTGTCTGGCATTCTGAGGGCTTGGTTTTGTCCAATGCTGATTCCCCAGCTTTATGACTGAGGTCCATGTGCTCTCACTTGGTCAGGTCATCTGTTTCTGTGGGTTTCTCCAACATGGTCTTGACCCCTTTGCTCATCCCTCCTCCCTCTCTACAACTGGATTCTTGGAGTACGGCTCAGTGCTTAGCTGTGGGTGCTTACTCCTGCTTCCATCAGGTACTGGATGAAGGCTCTAGGATGGCAATTAAGGCAACATCAATCTATAGATGTCTTTAAATAGTTTATATCATCTTGTTTTAAATAACATATGTTATATACACATAGTAAATTATTCATTTATCTTAGATTTTCCAGTTTAGTATAATAGAAAATTTACATATTTTATATAACCTAATGATTTTGTGAATCCAATTGGTATCTATCTGTCTTTTATATAAATGTATTTTTGAGACAGAGTTCCACTACATACCTCTGGCTGTCCTGAAACTCATTATGTAAATGAGGCTGGCTACAAACTCAACACAATATATCTGCTTCTGCCTCCCAAGTGCTAGATTTAATGGCATGAACCACCACACCGGGAAACTTTTTTAATATTTATTTTTAGCATTTTAATTATGTATATGGGAAGTATATTCACATGAATTGCACATAAATGCAAAGAGTGCTAACACAGGTCAGAGGTGTCAGATTCCCCTGGACCTGTGGTTACAAGAATTTGTAAGCTACCTGATGTGGATACTCAAAATCAAATTCAGTTCCTTGGGAAGAGCAATATGTACTCTTAATCA